ATATCTTTGAAACTAATAAAATTCCATGAATTTGGGCAGATGCTTGTTTTGGACACGATTCTCGATGATAAACTTTGGTATTGATCTCCGAATGAGCAAACAGTGAAGGAATGTGATAAAAATACCCTGTGGTGTTCTGCAGAAACGCTTATAAATTAGGGTTGTCATGGTCGCGCAGACCAGGAGAAATATAGTTGGTTTCGTCTTCATCCCGGTAGGGACGGGGCACGAAAAATAAATCTATGCCCGTCCCCACGTGGAGGAGGGGTGCGAGGACTGCAAAATCCGTCAATCATCTTATAAATGCACTTCAAATCTTCTCTGATCCTGTGCAAACTATACTTCAGGTAACATATAATCATAAGCTTTTCAGCAACTTCAACTTCATATCGCTGATGATTTGATTATAAGACAGCTAGTTCTCTTGTTCTGAAACGATCTGCTTCGAAGAAGAAGTCTGTTTCGCGCGCCTCACCCGCAGACATGGAAAGCTCAAGTGTTCGGGAAGCAAATTGTTGTTGCTATTATTTCATGAGTGGCCAAAATGTCATTATCATTGGGATAGCCAAATCTTTCATTGGCCAACATGTTCAAAATCTCACTCAGATGGCCAAAATGTCATTATTTATTGAAATGTAAGTGTTAGAACTGTAATCGCATCATCATTCAAAGTGGAAATTCACAAAATTTCCTAAAACCGTTGAATTCTATGGAGGCTGCCATCTAAAGCTACATGATTTGACAAGGGAACACAGTGAATCCAATACATAGAAAACGAAAGTAATGACCATAACAAAATTCATGTGAAACAAGTGAATATAGAGCTGCGTTCTGAGAAGAACAGTGACTTATTCGGGACAACTCACAACATGAAAGTCCCAGTCCTGCACATGGAGAAGGTGCTGTCTGTTCCGGTCCAATGTAGCCAACGGTTTGATTCCACGGTGATTGAGCAGATATCCAATCGGACAGGTCACCAAGTGGAATATTCCATGCGATAGCATCGTCCATTTTCGACGCAGGTATTTCCATTTGAAGACCGGAAAAGTGAATCTGAAGTTCTCATTCGTCAACCACCGAATCCATTGATCAGGATCAGGAAAACGAGGATTTTAGCACAAGGTTAATCAATCCATCGTTCATCATTACTACGGACACACCTCATGCGCATAGTTCAAAACATGGCAAAGCTGTCTACTTTAGCTTCTAGCACAATTCATAAATTTACACGCGAGAGTATGATCTGGAACAATGTTGTTGAAAATGGATCGAATTGAGAACAACCGAAAGGGAGGAGAGTTGCTGATTAGTGAAGAATTTCCTGTTTTGCAGCAGTTATTAGGAAAACTCTTTAGTTCGTTTGTAATACATTCACGAGTCATCATCGCTCATCAAATGCTGTTCAGTCCTCATACTCAGATGATTTGTTTTGAGGGTATTTCTGTGAAATTTGCTGCAAAATTACTGATAGCAATCAAATAGTATAATTGTTTGCAAAGTAGAGTAGTTAGTTAAGCCGTATTATGTTCGATTTAATCGTGCCCTTTAGTTCTTAGCGAGTTGTCAGTGTTTGCGCAGTTGATGAATAGATATTGATGAATCTCATATTGAAAGTGGATCGAATTAGAAATGAAACTGGTTGTGATGAGTCTGACATGAATAAAGTTATTAATGAATGCGATTTGTGCAATTCCATCAAATGATTCAAGAAGCAACGGAGAGACGAACTAGTCAATTTGTCGAGAATGCATCAAAAGTGACCATGAACAAAATTCAAATGATTGCTCAACAGTGGGGAGTGAGGATCTCATAAAGGATTTCCAACCCACTTACGCCAATTGCTTTGGTCCTCTTATCACAACCACTATGATTTAGCGTTGATCATTAAATTATTCTATGTAATCATTATTCC